TCCACCAATTTTTTAAATAGTTATGTACCCCTATCCTCATGTATCACATATGGTAAGAGTGGTCTCATTGTTCCTTTTAAGAAATGAATGGCTTTTGGAACTAGAGGTGGTAGTCGCTCAATATTGAGAATGTACTAAATGCCCCTGAATTGTTCACTTTAAAATGGTTGATTTTATGTTATGGGAATTTCACCTCAATTAAAAGAAAGTGATTGGCAAGCTAAGGCAAAATTATTGATTCCAGACCTCTGTCCATTAGTCCATATTTACATAATTGTGCTCATGGGGCCAAATAGCAGTTCTTATAATAAACAATGTATCGAAAACTCAGTATTCTTGCTGTCAGAGACTTGAAATAAATATATAATCCATCCAATTGTGAGTATGTAATAGGATAGTGTCACTTAATCTCTCTGAGGGGGTCCTTCTGGTATGAATGTATGCGGGGACTGGTTAAGGCTCGTCCTTGTTGGTATTACTTTGCAGCATTCCTGAGTAAGCTTACTATAGAAAACCTAGCTGAATTTTGTTATTAATATCATATTTAAAATTCCCAAATGTGATGCTAAATATTCTGAATACATTTTTGTTTGTTTCTGTTGGCTTTCATATCTGCATAAAATTCTTTGCTCTCAAGACCAGCATGTACATCACGGGAGCTCCAGCATTTTTCATTTCTTTGACCCTTTCTCTCTTTCCATCTGGCTGCCAGTGTAGTTCAGGAACATATTCACTTTCCTCTTAACTTTCATAATAGTTCTAGAGGCCCAGTGCACAACATGCGTGCACTCAGGGGTGGGGGAAGAGATCCTTCAGCCCAGCCTGTGCCCTTTAGCAGTCTGGGAGCCCCTCAGAGGCCTAAGCTGGCAGCTGGACATCCTTAGCGCTGCTGCGGAGGTGGGAGAGGCTCCCACCACCACTGCTGCGCTCACCATCTGTGAGCCTGGCTTCTGGCTGAGCGGCGCTCCCCCTGTGGGAGTGCAGTGACCACCAGGGGGCAGCTCCTGCGTTGAGTGCCTGCCCCCTGGTGGTCAGTGCGCATCATAGCAACCGGTCATTCCATTGTTTGGTCAATTTGCATATTACCCTTTTATTATATAGGATCCTTCCTGCACGGCCTTCCACCTGTCACCTCCTCATCCCCTGTGTCAACTTCTTACCTTTATAGCATGGCACCCTCTCTCACAAGTGCTCAAGGGTCACCATTAGGGTCAGAGTGAAGCCCAAACTCCCTAACCTGCCCTTGGAGGCTCACCATAACCCTTCCCTAACAACCATACTTCATATGTCCCATTTGTGCTGGCTTTTTATTTCCTATCTATGAAGCTGTAATGAAAATCTTGCTCATGTCATTCATTCCTGTGAGCAATTTCTGGGCAGTGCTATGTTGGCAACAATGTGGAATATAGTTGGAATTTTTTCCTAAAAGACCTTGATGAACGCACTTTATCTTTAAATGGCATCTTTTCAAGACAGGGACTAAGAAAACTTGGCAAGTTGCCGATGGTATATGATTTAAAGCAGGGAAACAGCTATTACCAGTAATTTTTTCATGTGTGTGATACTGTTCTGCATTGATAGGGAAGATAGCTTAGACTTGGTGCTATCGCATTCTGCAGATGTGCAAAGATGAAGGATGAGGTCCCCATCCTTCAAAGATCAGCGTTTCATGATGAACATGGAACCCCCTATTTGCCTTTCCCCTGCAATCTTTAGCCATTTATTTTAAATTAGAGGCCCAGTGCATGGATTGGTGTACAGGGGAGCGGGGGTACCTCAGCCTGGCCTGCACCCTCTCACACTCCGGGACCCCTCGGGGGATGTAGCAGTGCACCAACTGACAGGCGGTCAGGGAAGAGCCTGAGCAGGGGCCCGGTGCCACGCTGCTCGCAGTCATCCCGACCCGATGTGCCTGCCACCGCTGCTCGGTAGCACTGCCGCGGAGTCAGGAGAGGCTCCTGCCGCTGAAGCTGCACTCGCCAGCTGTGAGCCCGGCTTCTGGCTGAGCGGCCCTCCCCCTGTGAGTGCGCACTGACAACCAGGGGGAAGCTCCTATGTTGAGTGTCTGTCCCCTGGTGGTCAGTGCGCATCATAGCGACTGGTCGACCGGTTGTTCTAGTCGTTTGGTCATAATGGTCTCGTAGGCTTTTATATATATACTAGAGGCCCGGTGCACAAAAATTTGTGCACTGGGCGGGGGGGACGGGATGGGGTCCCTCAGCCCGGCCTGCACCCATTCACAGTCCAGGACCCTTTAGGGGATGTCCACCTGTCGACTTAGGCCCACTCCCCAGGGGATCAGGCCTAAGCTTGCAGTCAGACATCCTTCTGGCAGCCAGGGAGCCCTTGGGGGATGTCAAACTAAAGGCTTAGGCCTCTAAGGGATCAGGTCTAAACCATTAGTTGGACATTCTTAGTGCTGCTACGGAGGTGAGAGAGGCTCCTGCCACCACCACTGCGCTGGCCAGCCATGAGCCAGCTTCTGGCTGAGGGGCACTCCCCATATGGAAGTGCACTGACCACCAGGGGGCAGCTCCTGCATTGAGCATCTGCCCCCTGGTGCCAGTGCGCATCATAGCAACCGGCCATTCTGCCGTTCAGTCAATGTGCATATTAGCCTTTTATTATTATTACTAGAGGCCCGGTTCACAAAAATTTGTGCACTGGGGGGGGGGGGGTCCCCCAGGCCGGCCTGTGCCCTCTAGCAGTCTGGGACCCCTCCGGAGATAACGACCTGCTGGCTTAGGCCTGCTCCCGGGTGGCAGAGGGCAGGCCCAATCCCTAGGTACAGCCCTGGTCAGGCTCAGAGCAGGGCCAATTGGGGAGTTGGGGGCCCCCCCCCGTCATTCACAGAGCAGGGCGGATCGGGAGGTTGCGATGCCACCCTCAGTCATGTTCAGGGAAGGGCCGATTGGGGGGTTGGGGCGCCG